AGTCCTCTTACTAAGGCTTATTTAGCCTCTTCAAAACTTATTTTTCAAAAAAAAGAAAAAACTCCCAGTTCCTGGTCTGTTCAAGTCTCAGCAGTCTCAATCCGGCGATAGTTTCACCAAGCCTGCTGTCTTCGGTAATATGACACGAGCCTTTGGTAACATAAAACAAGCTACGCGTCAGCCACTCACCTCTCGTTATCTTCCTGAACCTTGAACACTGAACACTCCCCGCTGAGGGCAGGGTGTTGCTATTCAACAAGTTGAAGTACACAAAACGCACAGACCTATGTTGTTTCCAGAGCCAAGGAACAGCATTCGAGAAGGAAAGACATGATAAGCAAATGATAAGAAGACTTTCATAAGGCAGGACTGTGACAGCTGTAAAAACTGCCGCATTCTCCTTGCATAATGATGACAAAAGCAACTCAGCCAGTTTTTCTAGTTTGACTGGTTTCCTTCCTCTTTTTTCTGCGGCTGCGATCATTGTTTTGTTAAGGTGACAGGCAAGTTTTGCACCGCTGCCTTGTGGCTATTGTCTCTAATCTACAAATATAGTCTACTGCATATTCTACTGCAGTAGACTAATGTTGCTGAATATTTTTACAGGCTTACGAAAAAAACTGAGTGTAGAGGATAAGACTTTTGCACACAAGAGTAATGTTTTTCCATTGTGCTGATACTGTAACTAGAGACTCATCCACCACTGCAGGTATACCAGTGACCACTGAAATAGAACGAGGCACTGTCAAGTTTCCGCTGTATCTTCTTACACACAAGTGAAAGCGCACAAACACTAAGAGACAGAAAGGCTTCAAATGACAAATTCGATGGTGAGGTTGCTGTCCAGCTTGATAGTTTACCTGAGATTGAGACTGGATTGAAATCTGCTCTATTTCATTGAGCCATTTTTACCTTAGTTCACACACACACACAAAGAATGTGTACACAATGCGCTATTAAATAATCCATTTGACTGGGGCTAGCTCTGTAAATAAAAGACTGTGAGATATTTCCTTTTAGCATAGCTAGAAGTCACAGCTTCTGATAACAGGAACAATGGTTCTGCTCTGACCCTTAAATTCCAGAAATATTACCCTGTCAAGTTATGAACACGCACTCCAAAAAAGACCTCATGTCTTGTTCAAGTTAATAAAAACAGACATTCCTCTTTACAGGTGAAGTTTGGTGTTAGATTCTAAAGGTATCCTGAGACTTTCTGATCTAATACTGGCATCTGCTGGCTGGTTAGTGGTGTGGTCAAAGGAAAAGACAGACCTCCAGCTAGGTGAGTCAGACAGACAGACGTGCAAACTGTCAGCACTGGACACATGTGTGCATTTGCTTATATTTTAATCCGAAAAAGAATAGTGATTTCAACAGTGTTCAGTGGTGTTAGTTTGATGATGAACTTAAACTCACTTACTTAAAAAAAATTAAAAGAATAAAAATAAAATTAATTTGTAAAGAAATTAATGGAAGCAGTACGGGCGAAATGAATTTGTACTAATTCACTCCTAAAAGGTTAATTTAATAATAAAAGATTAAACAGTTCTAGGTTGTTATTCCAATAAATGAACAGAGTCATTAAAAGAGATAGATACTTGTGAACCACTTTATTAGGTACACTTTTCTGGCACTGAGTTGGACCTCCTTTTGCCTCCAGAACTATTGTAATTCTTTGTAGCATATTCAACAAGGTGCTGGAAAAATGTCTCAGAGATTTTGGTCCATATTGACATGACTGCATCACACAGTTGCTGCAGATATGTTGGCTGGCTTCATGTGCCACCACATCTCAAAGGTGCTCTACTGTATTGAGATCTGGTGACTGTGGAGGCCATTTGACAGCAATGAACATGCTGTCACTGCGGTCGTAAAGGGATGGCTATGGTCATCAACAGCTAGGTTGAGGTGTTTTAATGACACTCAGTTTTTATTACACCACTATCAGCCTGAACCGCTGATACAAGGCTGGATGGATGCACGCTTTAAGGTTTTTATGCTATATGCTGACCCTAGCATTCAGCTGTGTCAGCAGAAATTGAGACTTTACAAGCCAGGCAATATTTTTCAAATCTTCTCTTGGAGCATTTTGGGGATTCTGTGTGAAGTGTAAACTCAGTTTCCTGTTCTTGGCTGACAAGACCCGGTGTGGTCTTCTGTAGCTGTAGCTCCTGTATTTCAAGGTTTGACATGTTGCATGCTCAGAGCTGCTCTCCTCTTTTGGTTGTAATAAGCAGTTACCTAAGTTACTTTTGCCTTCCTATCAGCTGAAAGGAGTCTGGTCATTCTCCTATGACCTCTGACACCAACAAGGAATTTTCTCCCAGAGAAATGCTGCACACTAGGGATGGCTGTGTGGGAAAATCCCAGTAGATCAGCAGTTTCTGAAATACTTAGTTCAGCAAGTCTGGCACCAACAACCATGCCATGTTCAAAGTCACTTAAATCACCTTTCTTGCCTGTTCTGATGCTCAGCTTGAACTTCAGTAGTAACTGTCGTGTGATTGGTTGATTAGATATTTGCTTTAAGGAGCTGTTGAACAGGTGTGGTCTATGAGTGTAAATGAAATGATAACAAAATAAATAAAACTTAAAAAAATGGTGGTACTTCCTAAATTTATTCATCTCTTCCAAAACATACCCATCTTTCCCACATCATCATTTTTAAACTATTGACTCTATCATTATGTCTTTCATCTGGGCAAATAAACACCATACAATTTCAAAGGCACACTTGCAGAAACCTTCTGAGGGCAGACTTGGCCTCCCAATTTTCAGGCAATATTATTGGGCTTGCAATACCAGAACGTGGGTTTTCTGGAACAGTGTTTCAGCTGTTCCTGCTGTTCAGAAGGGCTGTGGTCCTTCCTGCCAAACATACCTACCAAAATTTTTTAGCAAAGATTTTGTCCTAGCTCTATTCTCTTCAGATCCTAAAGCAAGTTAGGGGTGCTTTGTGCCAGACCTATCCATTTTTGCCCCATAACGCCAAACCTTTCTTTTTTACCTGGCGTGATGGACCCTGTGTGTAATCATTGGTCAGAATTAGGTCTCCGCACTATTAAGGACGTCTACATCGACAATTGTTTTGCTTCATTTGTTCAGTTGCAATCAAAATGTATGCTTCCCTCCACTCGTTTATTTCGATACTTACAAATCAGGAATTTTGTTAAACACTCTTTCTCCCATCTGGATCAGCCACCTGCTCATAGAGACTTCTATGATTATTTGATTGAAATCCCAAACACCTAATCAGCCAGTTTACTACACTTTTTATACTTAAACCACCTACAAACTTCACCAAGGATGCTTGCGTTAAGGACATGGAAGTAGACATATCGGACACTTTGTGGGCCAATGGGTTGAAGAAGATTAAAGAATGCTCTGTTAATGCCAGATTACAATTTAGGCAGTTCAAAGTCCTTCATCGTTTGCATTTCTCTAAAATAAAGCTAGGCAGCATTTTTCCATCTATTTCCTCATTGTGTCATAAAATGCAAAGCAATGGAAGGAACCACTGCCCACCTTTTCTGGTCTTGCCCTACACTTTTTTGGGCAGAGATATTTAATATGTATAACCGGATTTATGACTTAAAATTAAAGCCGGATTGTATACTTGCAGTGCTAGACTGCTCCCTAACCTCACTGGCACTTAGACGTCCTCTTCAGAAACCCTTAATGTTTGACATGATTGTAGCTAAAAGCTATTGTAGCTATTCTTAGAGCCTGGAAATCACCATCTCCTCCCTTGTTTAGGGTTTGGCTATGAGAGAGGATTGCATGTTTGTATATTGCCTTATTTTTTTTCTTTTCTTTTATTGTTTTCCTGTTCTGGTTTTTTGGTTTTTGTCTTACTTTCTGCGCTTGGATGTCATTGTTTTTTTATTTGATTTTATGTAATTTTAAGTTAAAATCTTGTAAATAAACATTTAAAAAAAACCTTTAAGAGCAAGTATTTTAAAAAATATCTCCAAGCATACCGTCTATTTACCAGAATACCTGTGTTGGTTTTTGTTTTAGGGTTTTTTTTTAACATTGCCTTATTTCTTTGTTGCATGACTTCCAGGCTAGGCCCTTATCAGTCTACACGAGATGACCAGCAAACCACAAACCCAGTCAATGCCACACAGGGGCGCCATTAACTCACAGCTAGGCTCAGCATCATTCATCACAATTAGCACAACAAAACAAGCAAGTTCAGCTTCATTCGGCTAGTGTGCACTGCTCACTGGTGCAACAGAAATGCCAGACTGATGATTTAAGCATTTGTCAACCTTAAAGTTGCTTTCATAATATAAATTCATAATGTTAAATCTTCTGCTTAATGAAATACGTGCAATAGACACAGAGCAGCCTCTCAGAAAACCAGTAATTGAATTGACTCACCTTTTTTCAAATCATCTTGTTTGGACTCAGGTTAAACTATCCATCGTTTTAATATCCACTCATTCCATGTCTTTGGAGCACGAAGGCGATCCACACAGAGAGCACTCCTGACTGACGCTCTGTGGCTCCGGGGGAAACTTTGGGGCATGTCCAAACAAGCCCTGGCACCCCGTCCCTCCACATATTCACACCCCCTTTTTTTCCTCACATGTGAGGAGTATGGGTATCAGTCTACGGTGTAACTAAAACTACACTAAATCCTGTTTATGGTTATGTTCTGTCTACAATCACGAGTCAGATATGCGCAAAGGCCTAGTTGAGTGGCCTGCATGTACGCTCACAGTGCCACTGTATGACGTGAAGATGATCATCTCCAAATTCAGCAAGTGTGTTGCTTAAATGTGTATTTAATCAATAAAACATTACATTTCCACTTGTAAAGCTGCATTAAAACTGTGTTTAAAGAAATCTGGATTTCACCCCTGCTGCGCCTCAGGCTGGATTGTGTTCAAGCTGACTGGAATGACTCGCAACTCGTGATCCCCCATTCTTAGTAGCACCAGACTTTAAAATGACCCCCCTCCCAATAATCTCTCTTTGCAGCTTGCAGCCGTATGTAGTGTTAGATGCAGCGCTCACAACCAATTTTAGTCCTTAGTACATTTCTACAAGCTTGTAAAGACACACATGCGTCCTTGGATTAATCGCTAATTTCGTATTTATTTTTTTTGTTTTATTTAATTTTAAAATGACCATGGGTACTGCTGTAGCTGTGCAGAAAAAGAAGAGAAAAGATTTTATACCTTACTTTCTGGGATTTGTAATATTTTTGTATTGCACGGTCAGCCTCCTTTCAGTAACAGCAAAAACAGCACAGGAAAGTCACTCTGTCAGGGTGCGTCGGGCCGTGGGTAAGCATATCTGAAACAAGTGCGTGCGGGATTTTTGGGTTACTTTGTAACATTTTAGAGCTGCCACAATAATCTGGGGGAGTTTTGTTTTATAGTGACAATCTGTTCAGTGTGTCATGAGTTATGTCACGGTAATAATGTGTGCGTAATCATGTGGCATAGCAACTGTGGCAATGTTTGCTCTACTAATCGTCGTGTGTTATCGGCATGAAAGACCGTGTAACTGCCATGAAAAGAGATCTAACCATCTTGGCAGAGCGCTCTAGCAACTTGCTGGCTTCTTGGGGTGACAGTTTGTGTGTATGAGTTGTTAAGAGTCGTTATTAGAGTCGGTGCTTTCGTCTTTTATTTGATAATATTCTCGCGTGTATTTGTCAGGGGCTAGATTTAAGAAGTTGAAAATAGGTATTATCACACAACCGTTACTGGAGGCGACTGATTCATCCTCATCCCAGTCTCCATAAAGATAATCTCCCTCAGGCTTTCTGTACTGACGTATTCGACCAAAATGGCCAGACTGAAACTTTTCTGTACAATTAGATTTTAGTTCACTTTACTAAAATGTTCTAAAATATTTTTTCTCCCTTATTTTTGAATTAGTTTACTATAACAGCCTTGATTTGAATGCGTGTGCGTGTTGTTTCTGCTGTTTTAGAGAATGAGACAGAATGCATCCCGCCACAGTCCTCCGAGTTTCCTGAAGGCTTCTTCACAGTGCAGGAGAGGAAGGACGGAGGGCTCGTCATTTATTTTATGCTTATTTTCTACATGCTTTTGGCTGTCTCTATAGTCTGCGACGATTACTTTCTGCCATCATTAGAAGTAATCAGTGAACGTAAGTTCTACATAACACACACGTTTCCAATAGAACATCTGCGTGTAAGGTGTAGGTGTAGGCTTGGGTGGATGTTCTCATTGTATTTTTGCACTGTGTGATTATCAGAGTAATCGGGATTTATAACAACAGATTCTAACGCAATTTCTTCATTTACAAGGTGGGAGCCAAATCTACACATACAGTGTGAGGAAATATTTAACTTACTGAACATTTTAAGTAATAAATAAAGCTGTTAGTCAGTTAATCCTTTGGTATAGTTAATGTAAACTAGTTTGGTCTTTGCAAAGTCTACAAACATTGTGAAAGTTTTCAACTTTATGCACCTATCCCTCCAACACCTAAGTATATTTTATTTTAAAAAAAACCATATCCTTTTTTAATAGACGATCAAACCATGAAATCAACTGACTGACTAAACAAGCCCACAGTGGGCGGATATAAAATGTAATATCACAGACCAATCCTTAAAAATAAATATATCAATCTGTTTTTAATGGGCCATTTGAGGAGGGATTGTGCTATTGTTGAACAAAACTGTGCATTATATTTTTGTGTGTGTGTGTGTGTTATTTTGGACGTCTCTCAGGTCTGGGATTGTCACAGGACGTAGCAGGAGCCACGTTTATGGCAGCTGGAAGTTCTGCACCTGAACTAGTCACAGCCTTCCTAGGTAATCACAAACTAAGTAAAAACCTAATCATGACATGATAACCCCAGTATGATCATCTCTGTCCTTGTGGTGTTCCCCAGTCTGACATAGTGACTTTACTACATGGGAACAAAAAGGAAAAGTGTCCTTGAACTAGGCTATTTTAACTTTCAGCTCTTTATTTCTTTTCCCTGTCATGCTTCCTCATTGCTCCTGGCTTCAAAGCTAAAATGTGCTCTTTACTGTCAGGTGTGTTTGTGACAAAAGGGGACATTGGGGTCAGCACCATTGTGGGATCGGCTGTCTACAACCTGCTAGGAATCTGTGGTGCCTGTGGACTTTTAGCCTCTATGGTACATTCTGACACGATAACACATAAGATACAGACAAACATTACACCTCTGCTAACTACTTGTGTGTAGCAGTTGCACTTTTGCTCAGCCAAAACAGAAGGATCGTTGTGTTTTATGAGCCTTAAACCTCTTATTTTTGTTCGCTTTATCAGGCTGGGCGTCTCACCTGTTGGCCACTATTCAGGGACTGCCTGGCATATGGGATCAGTGTTGCTGCTGTCATTGGGATTATTTCAGATAACAAAGTTTACTGGTGAGTGTATTTGTGTGTACTGACTCATCATTACATGAATCATCTTAAGACCTTTCACCACATACAAACAGGGGTTGAATTTGGGTTGTAAAAGACTTTGTCCTTTTATAAGAGACTATTTTATAACCCAAAGGGTGGTAACAAGATACAAAGTCATTTACAGCGTTTTATTGCCTCTTGTGATGTAGAGAAAAACAAATTAAAAGAGATCACAAAACAATTTGTACAGTGCAGGTATTTACAGGTTTGTTTTTTCTTTTTGTTTTTTATGGTACTGTCATAACTATATCCATGGCTAAAAAAAAAAAGCAACAACAATTTGGAGAATTACACATGGAAAATATGTTGAAATAATCCAGTGGTACAAAAGCCACTGAAATGTTTTCTGACCTTAATTGAGGGAAGTGAGACCTGCAGTTTTTTAGATGGTGATCTGGGTTCTTTTGTGACCTCCTGGGTGAGTCATCGAAGAACTCTTGAAGTATTTTTGGTAGGCTGGTCACTCTGGTGAAGGTTCACCACTGTTCCATGTTTTCTCCATTTGTGGATAATGGCTCTCACCATGGTTCATCACTGCTATTACTTACATTGACATAATAATTGAAAAGTGCATTTTGTATTTACTCAGGTTATCTTTGTCTAATATTAAAATCTGTTTATGTTCTGAAACATATAAGTCTGACAAATATGCAAAAAAACTAAAAACTCAGGAAGGGGACAAATGCTTTTTCACAGCATTGTATGTTTTATTTACAATATTTTTCATTTACAGTATGTCAATGAACTATTAATGCTCAAACTGTGTAATTTGTTGACAGGTATGATGCTGCCTGTCTCCTGCTGGTCTACGGCGTTTACATTGTGGTTCTGTGCTTTGACCTTCGCATCAGTGAGTTTGTCCTGAGGAAGCTGAGCCCTTGCTGCACGTGTCTGGGGTCAGGTTCGTGTGAAAAGATTGAGACACAGCGTCTGCTGGGTTGGAATGACGACACCAGTTTGCGAGTCCACAGTCGCTCCAGAACAGACAGTGGGATCTTCCACGATGAGTCAGGATACTCTCACCTGTCCCTCAGCCTACACGGACTCAATGAGATTCCTGAAGGTAAGGCGCACTTCTTAGTGGCACAGTAAAACTGCTTTCCTTCAACGCCACTTTGAGTCATTCGCCTTCGTGTTTGATCTAGGAGAGATGTATGATGTATATTCTCTCATACCAGCAGAGCATAAAAGTGTCTTTGCCGTCCCGGAGAGCGACATGAAACGGATTCTGTGGGTACTGTCCCTGCCCATCATCACTCTGCTTTTCCTCACCATCCCTGACTGCAGGAGAAGGTTCTGGAAGCAGTGGTTCGTGATCACTTTCCTCATGTCAGCAGTCTGGATCTCAGCTTTTACATATGTGCTGGTGTGGATGGTCACTGTAGTTGGTAAGATGGCTGTTTTAACTCTGAAGTCTGTAATAAAATTCTGTAGTTTTCATTAAACTTTTGCAGATTAGCTGCAGGTGTAAATGAGCTCATCACCCACTGAGCCACGGCAGATCACAAGTGTTGAAACTTGTGAGAAAAATGTTGGATTTGCAGAGTACAGTCACATGTTGGTCTGCTGGTTAATTCCTGGGATGCCATTATCTAGGCAGGTTCAGAGGGGGTCTGTTGTAGCTCCAGTGGGCCATGTGCCTAGCCGGCCACAGCAATTAACAGGGGGCTCACCCCTAGGGAAACACAGTCACATGAGGACTGAGTGTATACAGGGCTTCAAGAACCCCTCCACCTTCCATCTACAAAAGAATGAACTATAGAACTATATTCCAAGTTCAGGGTAAAAAGGCAATATTATCATGTGACAGTGGCAGGTCTACTTAATGTATAATGAGATTATTATCCAATAGTTCTCAGAAAGGCTCACATGCAGGGAAATACCAGGCATGTAGGCTCTGCACTGAATTGGACAGTACAGAGAACCCAGTCACAGTTCACAGGCAGGATTGCAAGGATTCATTTAAGGTGGTGATTAATATTGGTGAGTTATTTTCTGGATCACTTTGCCTGAAATTTTTTTATTTTCCTATGATGAATGTGGATTCTGGATAATGGACAATGTCTAATAATGGACTTAATTTTCAAAAAGAGAAGGAGCAGATGTGCTGTTTGTTTAACTTGATAATAGGATTTCACATTCTTATGGAAGATCCACAGTACTATGTACTTTTGAGCCACCCCTCATTTCTTGATATTTAGCTTAGGTTCTTGAGAAATAGTTCCTTCAGTTTTCTTCAGGTCGAAGGTTTTCCTTAGCTGCTTTTTCAGTCATTTTCAGCGCTTCTACCTGACCCTTTACAAGGGAATGTTTCTGTTGAGCAACTTAACCCTGACGTATGAGTCATTCAAACAAAAAAAGTACCCAACCTAAGGGAAGAACCAGTGTTGTGTCTACACATTACAGACGACTTCTGTGGTCACGTCTGTTAATTTTTTTCTTTAGTTATTTTTTTCGTCGGGGTGTTTGTCACAACGTGCTTTGTTCTCCTTTTTCACTTTGTTTCTTTGCGAAGTGGTATCTCTTTAGTTGAGAATGTCAAGAAGCTATATTTAAGGCTGGAAAACAGGGAGAAAAGTCTCCACAGCCATCTGTTAAACATAGAGGAGGCTCTGTCATGGGTTTGGCGCTTCATTTCAGTCAGGTGTGTTAGACACAGAAATTGTACTAACTGTTTTTGCCTGATATACTGCATTTCCATTAATCTCTGCACCTATTTCCCTTGCAAGACAAAAAAAAAAATGTGTAGTAGTTCAATATTTTTGCACAACACTGTATCTTGAAGTTATTGGTAGGGTAATCCGACTTTGTGTTGGCATTGTGTTTATGCAGGTGAGACCCTTGCTATCCCCGATACTATTATGGGACTTACTTTGCTTGCTGCTGGAACCAGTATACCTGACACTGTGGCCAGTGTGATGGTGGCCAGAGAAGGTAACACTAATTTCCAGTTTCATTAACTTCATTTAAAATTCCTGAACAACTGCTTGCTGTACATTTAAACTTCCACAGCTTGTTCACTCAAAATACAGGAATGTTGAATTCTTTAAAATTTCAATGTAAACTTTTTTTCTCTCTCTCTTAAGGGAAAGCCGATATGGCCATGTCCAACATTGTGGGCTCTAATGTGTTTGACATGCTGTGCCTGGGTTTGCCTTGGTTCATCAAAACTGCCTTTGTGGACACCAACAACCCTGTAGAGGTCAACAGCACCGGACTGGTCTTTATTTCCTGCACACTTCTCCTTTCAATTGTCTTCCTTTTTGTAGCCGTGCACATCAACGGATGGAAGTTGGACTGGAAGCTGGGAATCGTTTCTCTCATCTGCTACATCCTCTTTGCCACTCTGTCCATCCTGTATGAGCTGGGAATTATTGGGAATAATCCCCTAAGGCTGTGCAGCGACTGAGATCTGACCTTCTCAGGACTAAAGCCATATTTTCTGAGTAAAAACAAAAATGTTAAGCTTTTAAAAATGTACAAATATCAAGTTGCTACGGCACGCATATGTGATGGTCACCTCAGTGAATGATCTATTGTTAATATATTTTACCAAAGGTGGCAATGTTCCTAGGATCATTCTTTTGGGCGTGTACACCAAGATCCAGACAAGACCAGTATCATCACAAGGCCCATCTTCACATTGCAAGACATTCCCTGTCTTACATAAGGGTCATGAACAAAAAGCTACTGCTCCCACAGGTTTACTGCAATTTCCAATAAGAAAAGAAATAAAAGGTTTAAACTGAACTCATCTGGCCTTGTCCTCCTTTTTAAGAGGGTGGTTGAGCTAAAACAAAGACTTATTTCTCTGATAAGCTTTTATGAGCGAGAAAGAATGGTTAGAGCCATAAATAGTTAAAAGAAAAAAAGAAAAAAAGAAAGAAAAACTTTCCACTCATCTTCAGTTCCCTAAAACTGTCACGCATTTTTTTTCCACAACCAAGTTTGCAATGCTTGCGTGGACTTTAGACACTAATCTACCCTCAGAACAAACCCAACAAAGCTTAGTTCAAGCTAAGCACAAAAACCTTCCAAAAAAAAGAATTTGTTCAAAACTGTAGCAAACCTAATTCAAATAAAAATAGTTTAAAATCCCGTTTTAATCTGTAGCTTTGATGAAATCTTTCTAACAGCTTGAGGACACACTGTTATGCATCTTTTTTACAGCACTGATGTCTAGTTAGGTGTCCGTATTGTATTCCGCTGACATACACGTGCCATAATATAACTAAAAACAACAAACAAATCTAAACAAAACAGCTACTTTTGGCTGTATTCTTATTAACAGGTCGCCGCAGCAGGTAACTCAGTTTTTCAGGATTATGCCAAACCCACTCGCGATCTAACTAAAAATACTAAACTTTAAGCTTGAAGGTTTAAATACTTGAATATCTTTTTGTTCCTATAAAATAAGCTCATTCTGAGTTTCATCTGTGGACTATTGTGGTATTTTTTAGATTTGAAGTTGCCAATGTAGAACGCTGTTCTTGGAGGGTGGGGGCAGAACTACAGCAAAAGTTTAGACAATGAAGAACAACTTCGAGACTTTGATCTCAGGAGAATTTACAACCACCAAGTTTAAAAATTACAAACTTTATTTGGTCAAATAAACTGTCTCACAAATTAAAAAGGGTTTATAAAACAAAATAGCTATGTAGTTTACATTAACAAACAAAAGGACGAAAGAAAGAAACAGTATACACGTGAAGATATGAAGTAATTGTGTTTTTAAAACAAAACAAAAGATCATTGGCAAGGGGACTGAATGTGTACGTGTTAGCTTCACTTCTACAAAGGATCTAGGCGTTTCGATCAATACGGACGTCCACCTCTCGGCCATTTATCTTGGTTCCATTCATCATCCTGCAGGCCTTCTCGGCACTCTCTGGAGAGTCGAATCTCACCGTTCCGCATCCCTTCGACTTTCCATTCTCCATCTTGATTTCTGCAAACATTACCTGACCTGTAGCAGAAAAGAATGAGCAACGGCTGAATTTTGAAAGCAGAATCTTTAACAAAGTGCTGATTAAATCTTAGACATTGGCCTTTGTTTTCAGCGATCAATTGTGGTGAAATGCCAAAAGTGCTCCAGTGGTTCATGAATTAAACAGAGAATAATTAATTCAGTGGTCTATAATAAGCGAAACACTTACCACAGTGACTGAACTTGTCTTTCAGTTTTTGCCATGTCAAATCATAGGACAGCTATAAAACAAAAATATACTTCAGTCATTACATTAGTCAGCATTAACACATTTACAGCTGGACCTTTGTACATAGGGCTGTGCGATATGACCAAAATCTCATATCCCGATATTAAGACATCTATCGTCCGATAACGATATAAATCACAAAAATTTTACATTTTCTATAAATTCTGTGAATCTCGTGCAGCTCGACTTGCGTGAAGTGTTTCCAGCTGCGCGTCATGTACCTGGAGTCGAGTGTTTTAACTGCATGAAACTATACATTTTTAGACATAAGTTGTAACGGCCGCTGTTTTCTTTGTGAGTATTTATAACACGGTGTGCTGCGTGTGAAAGCCTGTTCTAAGGTTTGAGTCTAATGCTGGGCTTACACCGTGCAATTTTTGGCCCATTTTGAGCCGATTTTTGAGTCGTGTGACCGTTTTGGCGATCGGCCCGATTTTGGCCTTCATCGTGCGTCGTGCATCGTGTAGTATACGTGTGGTAACGAGATGCGATTAACACCTCACGACCAGCTCCCGATCATCAATCGCGTCGTGAGGGTGTCACCGCAGTGTGTCACACTGCGCACGCGCAAACACAAATGTCAGCGAAAAAGACGGAGCAGCACGGCAGTGCAGCATGTGATCTGGACACAAGCGATGGAGGCACAACTTGTAGAACTTTGGAAAGCTCATCCGAGCCTTTTCGATGTGGCCTCACAAAATTATCACGACCACAACAACCTTGAAAATAGTTGGATCTACACTGCTGCTCAATCACAGCTGCCTGACCAATGTTTTTCATTAGCAATTTAGCAAAGTTGATGGTGGTGGTGTGTCTGTGTGAGTGAAAGACGGAGAGGGAGAGCGAGTGACAGAATTTCTGTTATAACCTTCATTTTTATGTACGCACAGTGTGAGCACTCAGGTCGCATCAGAGCATCGGGCCGTATAGTGTGAGACCCTGCATCGTGACCTATGAACTTCTAACCCCTGCGAGTCAATCGTACAGTTTGAGCAGGAGCTGAATCGCGCGACTGAAGAAAAAAAAAAAAAAAATCACAGTGTCTGCCCAGCATAAGGTTTATTTTTTTTAAGCACCTGACGGCTCTTTTTTGCTTCTCATCCGTAAACACTGCATCTTTTACGTGATTCAGTTTATTTTGAAAAGTCACAACAGGATCTTGAGCTTTATTGTGAAATGTTTATGTGGAACATAAACAAGCGGACACGCGGTGGTTTTACCGTCGTTGTTGCTAACGACAACGCATAAAAACAAACGCTTGTCTGTCTGTAGTGTGGTTATAAATATAAGAGAAAGTGAGAACTTTAAGAAATTAATATAGCCACTACAGTGACCATCAAAATAATGAAAAAATATTGCCGTAAACGTTTATTTTGCAACACCACGAAACAAACGATAGCGTAAAATGAAACGATAAGACGTTTTTATATCGTCATCCGATACATATCGTTATATCGAACAGCCCTATTTGTACAGGAATCAAACATGTCAAAGATGACATTGAACTGATCATAAATCCTCCAAGCAAAAATTAATGATTCATCAAAGCACACCACATATTATTAATAACTTTGTGTGCTTATGCAGCTATCCAATCAAAGGCCCAGCAACAATATATTTAATGACATCTAATGAACGTTTATCACGTTAAAGTTTAACTGATCATGTTAGCACAGCGAACTGATTAAAGAAGCAGTAAATTTAGATACACAAATGTCTTGAGAACACATCTAAACAAAAGAGGAATGATGGGGGGGTTACAAGAAATTCTAACACAAGTGATGTTTGCTAAACCTGGACCTTTGAATTCCCCTTTAACATTTTAAACTTTGAGTGGCAGCATACTATAGTGCTTGCACTATGACTACTATCACTATCACGACTGACTGTAACAGCTCTGAAAATCAGAATAAATGAACATGGTTTTATTTCTGCTTACATTTCGCACAAATATCTGGCAACCTCCTTTGGACCCTGAGCCTCTGTCCGACATGCCACCACCCATGTGGCCCGGCCCCCCGCCTCCATAGCCACCAAAGCCACGGTTCATGTCCATTCCTGACATTCCCAAACGGTCAAAGCTGGAGCCCATTCGGTCCATCGACATATTTCCCATTCCTCCACCTGAGAGTGCGCGCGCGCGCGC